AACTTCTAACTCTCTTTTTGTAACTCTCTTTTTGTTTCTTTATAAATTTCTTTATGAAGTTAACATCAATCAAAAAGCTGTGCATTTGATCAATTGGTTTTCATGGCACGGCAAACAATAATGAATTTTTTAAGGTAAAAATGTTAATTTAAATTTAACTCTTAGCTGGGATTGTTAATCTTCCACAACAAAAGTAGCACACAATTATTCTGATCAACATTTAAGATGAAAAAAGCAAATCACTCACTTTATGGGCAATAACATTTTATTAACTATAAAAAGGATACAACCCAAAAAAATAATATTAAACCTATAACATGTAGATAATTCTTTTATTTTAACCAGGTTATTTATGTAACAATGCAGGAAGTCCTGATTCCCTTATATCCAGTGATGTCAAGAAAGAATTACTCAATAGATTAATACAGTTGGTTAGCAAAGCTATTAAAATCATCTGTTATAAACTGCAGAAGTTACACAATATAAAAATATTTCTCAGAGTGCATAGAAAGATGTCAACAATTGTCCATTATGATCAATTGACTTGTACTGTATTTATTAAAACAATGATTATTCAACAATATTCTAGATCTATGTTGATATCTGCTTATAAATGAGAAACCTAATATATTTCCAATACTTTTCAACACATAATAGAGCATTCTTAAGCACACTGATTCTGTGCTGGTTGGGGCCTCTCGCTTTCCATTACTTCTTCCTAAAACATGTTAAAATTTGTAACTTGAATCTTTTATCTGAAACAGCACATTTTTCTTCCCAGACTTCAAATTGCAACCCTTAATGAACTCTGATTTTAATTGGGCACCTACGTCTTTTACACCTTCAAGGATTAAGTCCTAGGTCTTTTAAATAGCAACAGAAGAAGTCGGATAAAACTAGTTTCTTTCAGCCCTTATAGGCCCTAGGCAAACTTGATCAACGGCAGTCGTATCCTTTCATTTATCTGTGACTTAGTAGGTCTAAATCCTTGCAATCATAGTGATGGAATATGGCTTAATCTCCTAAATTTAGGCTATATGACAAAATGGATCTATTGCCATCAATTATTTCACTGATGTAAAATATTTTGTGTTTTAAGAGAATGGCGGGGGCTCTAAATTCAATAGGTATTGAATGGGTCACTGTATTAAGTTCTAACTTAGGTAGATGGATATTTAAGCTGACAAAATATCTGAAGAGAACATCTTTATTTTTTGAACCAAGACTCAGGAACACTTAACGAGAAGCTGTAACTTTGCAACAACACTGCTCTAGGCAAACGTGAGCTGAAGGATACTTCAGCTATGCACCTTTGGTGGCTGTCACTGATTGTCATAAATCAATTGGTTTTCTCTCTGGAGCTGCAAACTCCAGTTCCTAGGAGAAACAAGGACCCTGTTAGTGTTTAAATTACAACCTATTCCGGAGTTAACTATGGATCTCTTTCAATCAGGCTACTCTCTGAAGCCTGTAGAAATCCAGATCATTCCAGAACTTTTAGTATTTATTTATTAAATTTATGTGCCACCTATCTTATCCGGAAATTACCCTGGGTGGCTTGCAAACATTAAAACTAGTATATATTAAAATAATAAAATGATAAATAACAACAAAAAATAAATACTATTAAAAGATGGGGAGGAGAGGAATATGAAACACACAGGGAGAGGTGGGGGGTCTTTCCTAATCCAACAGCCACCTCCAGAATGGTTCCCCCCCCTTGGAGCCCCTGGCCAATTAGCAGAGCGTCTTCAGGCCCTTACAGAAGGTTAAAGGGGTGGGTGCGGATCTCACCTCAGGAGGTACAATATTCCATACGGCAGAAAAGGCTCTTCTCCTGGACCCCATCAGGTGTGACCAATGTTTCTGTCTCATAATCGGGCTTGAATCCTGATGGGAAAGGGTCCAGATAATCCGTTTCATCCAGGATCCTCTGAAGCTACCAAGCAACCACTTTCTATTCCATCTTCCCTAAAGAGGGAAGACTGGAAACTGGGTGAAAATTGTCCAGATGGGTAGGATCAAGAGAAGATTTTTTTTTTAGGAGGGGGCAAACCAGGACCTCCTTAAATGGACCCAGGAATGTCCCCTCCTTCAGCGAAGAATTAATCACTGCCTGAACCCACCTGACAGTCACCATCCTGGAGGCTTTCACCAACCAAGAGGGATGAGGATCTAATTGACAGATAGTTGCACTGACAGCATCGTGGAGCCTGTCCACTTCATCAGGTCCAACAGGACTGAGCTGCTCCCAGATAACTACTTTCCAAGCATCTAGCACAATGCATGGGTTCTATCTGGGAATGAATTCGAGCAACTTTGTCTGTCAGGTGTGTGACCCTTAAGATGAATATCCAAGCCCCCCCCCCGGCCCAGGAGGGACTGGGTGATCTTGAACACGGCCATCAGTCATTGCTCTGAGGATGCCATAAGAGCGGGGAAATGTTTCACCACTTTTACTGCCATGAGATAGGCCTTAATGGCAGCTATAAGTAGAAGTCACAGTCATCCCTTGTCTTCCTCCAGCAGCGTTCTAGGCGTCTTTTAATCCTTTTCAAAACTTGAAGCTCCTCCAAGAAACACAGGGAGGGGCGGGAGTGAAAGGTTAAAAGAATGTGCACAGGCACGATCCTGTTTAAAACCTCAGCCACCCTTTGATTCCAGAACATTATCAGAGTTTCGGCAGGACTGTGCAGCAAAGTTCCCATCAGATCCATCAGTCACTGGGGGAAGACAGCTTGAATGGATTCAGCCTCCCTGTAGAGGGAGGGTAGCCTAAGAGAATCTTGGGGACACCAAGGCATGACCTGACCATGACAAAGGGGAAACCAACAGCCCCCCCCCCCACCAGGTCCTATTGCCATTGCTCCAACATGAAAATCATATCCGGCATTTGGCCGTTGTCCTGAGTCGAACCTGAGATGATCTGGGATAGGCCCATGGCTGCCATGGTAGTCATAAACTCCTGGGCCGCTTCCGAGACCAAAACCAGGGAAAGCAGATTAAAGTTCTCTAGAACCATAAGTCTAGGGAACTCCATCGCCAGCCTCAAGATGACCTCCAGCAGCATCAAGCAGGGAGGTTGCCACGCAACAGGGAGGCTGGTACAGTAGCAACACTGGCAACTGATTTTGTGAACCCAGCTTCAGGTACAGGGTCTCACAGCCAGAAACTTGGGAAGCAAGGCTCCTGAAGACGAAGAGATTCCGGGATGACCACTACCACCCCACCTTCCCTGTCCTGGGGTCTTGGCTGGGGCAAAATCCTAAACCCTATTTAAATGGCTTAGCTGTTAAACATTTTAGTTAAAGAAATGCTTTACCTATATATTTTTATATATAAAAAACTGGCATTCCCAATAATGTTAATTACCTTTAAGCAAACCATGTCTTCCTACTTTCTCTTAAAAAATGTCTAGCCTACACTTCCATCATTAAAGCAATCCAAAAAGGAATCTGATACTTAAAATCAAAAACTGTTCATATAGACTGTTCATCAACTTTAAGTTGCCTACATAAAAGATCCCTCAGATTTTAAAGATAAAATAAACCATCAAATTTTATCAATCACTGTGATTCATGCCATTTTGAAGTTCCATTTTGAGATGGGCAATAATTGGAAAAGCTGAAAATTCTGCATCCATCAGTTATAATTTTATCCAGCTTCTTAAGGGGTTTGGGGCAGTCTTAAGAATGAAAATGGGCTTCCTTATCTCATCCTTCAAAATACGAAGGAAGAAAAAACCTTGTCACTGAAATGCAATCAGTTTGCTAAAAAGGCAATGAGATTTCAGTGATGGAGAAAGCACCATTCGGCCTATGGATTATCTACCTTTTATAACCCAATCTTAAACAGATCATGTGACCAACATGGATCGTTGAAGGTAAATGATAGTTTTTCATCAATATGTTTGTCAAAAGCATGAAGAAGGGAATGTAAGTGCAGAAATCAAGAACGGAATTCAACTTCTCTAAAAACCCTGCCCATGATAGGGAAAAGTCTTAAGCTACTGCTGGACAAACTACCTTTCTCCTCTAGCAAATCAAGCTGAATAATAAAGAGCCTCTTCATAATGAAATGGCAGACATTGAACACAGAGCACAGAATCATAGGGCTGTTAGGAACTTCAGAAGTCCTTCAAGCCCAAAGACCCTGTTCAAACAGGAGACCTTATACCATCCTGGTCAAATAGTTGTCCAGTCTAATTTTGGAAACTTCCAGTGATGGGGCACCCATATATAAATTAGCTGTTCGAGAAAACATTGTACCTAAGTACACAGAAGAGCAATCCTTTCCAGACTGTTCCTTATAGGATCCAAAAGGAAAAAAGTGACACTGAACACATTTTGACCCTGCAGGTTCCAAGAACTAATTCTATAAAATATGTTCAATCAGTTTTACTAGCAGGTTAAATTCAGGCAGAGGTAAACAAAAGCAATGACCTCAGAACAAAGGGCTGTGGTCCCTATAGACCAGGGATAGGCAACCTTGGCTCTTGCTGGCTCAGGAATTCTGGGAGTTGAAGTCCACGAGTCATAAAAGAGCCAAGGTTGCCTACCCCTGCTATAGACCATCCACCTCTCCACTTAATGGAAGAAACCTAGAGCCTCAAAGTTCTTTCTGGCTCTACTTCCCAAAACCAATGGGAGGGTGGGGATAGACAAGATCTAAGAATCTCTACCTTGTCCCCTCCAAGGCACTCTTCCTCCCCACTCCCTTTTAAGGTAGCATGGAGAGGATATAAACTGGAAAACTGAGCACAAGCAGATGACCAAATTTAATCCTGCAGACCATACAGTGTAACTCTTCCTACTATGAAGACATGGATTGAATCAATTTTCCAAATTCATTATTTAAAGCCTGGCAAATATAATCACAACACAACACAACACAAGACTTAGATTGGCAAGTCTGGCATTTGTTTTTTTTCACTGGGTATTCTAAAAGCCTATACAAGTTACTTTTTTCAGGTCTGTCTTAATTCTCTAGTACTGGGTCAGTCTTTTTTTTTTTTTCCCAGAAACGAAGGGCTCAAATTTAGGTTCACGGCACTTGTACATACATTCCTGAATCTGTAAACAACGAACACTGACATCTGGTAAATGAAATTAGCAACTAAATCTAACTGCCCAGGCAGCTATATAGTCCATCTATATTATAGCATGTAGTCGTTGGACTACAAATAAATGAATTGATATCAATCCACTAGCTACACAGAATCCTAAAACTAGGTTAATAACTTATTCTTAATTGTAGTACTGCATCCCATGCTTTTTCATACTGTTTATTCTGGGATTTGGCATCAGAATATTGTTACGGAGCTTGAAATAGCAAGAGGATGAAAAGTTTAGACATGCCTATATGAAATGCAAGCAACACTGAAAAATGCATAGAAATTCCAAGATGTAATGTTATTTATCTTCTGCTATCTAAGATGCTATAAGCTTTCCTTTAAATAAATAACAGTTTTAAAAAACCTGAGGATAAATAGGATAAAAATTAGAGGCAGAAGAAACTTGTGCTAATGTCATCTCTGGAATCGGGCTACTGAGTAGACATGCTGATTGCTCCTCAGGAAAACTCTCAAGGTTAAATAGACAACAGAAAAGCAAAGAAGGGAAATCAGTCCAAGCAGTACCAAACATTCTGCATTAATAACTGCTAAGCAATTCTTGGTTAGACTCACGCACACAGGGTTTTGGTTAGCACTATCTTTAAAGTAATACAGTAAAGTATATTTTCTAATATTTTATCTGAGCACCATTTCAAAGAAATCACAGCTGATTTAGCTCCTTGGCTAGATTTTTAAACCAGTCAATGTGCTTCTTTCTGAAATACAAACTTTCCTAAGAACACTGGCAGCATCCCTTGTTGCAGTACATCAACAAATGGAAGGAACCACTTCTTTAATTTCCAAATTGTACAGCCTCTGTCTCTTACAGAAGCTCTTTGATGCTTTATCCCAGGCAGGAACAGTAAAGGTAGCAAAATTTCATAAACTCTGGGATCACAAAATTAGCTGCTCCTCTTGCAATCAGCAATGGCAGAACACATCCCACTTACATATTTGCAAGGCTCTGCTGCCAAAAATATGTAAATGTGCATTAGTGTGATTACCGTAAAATTAATCTTGATTCAATAGGCCCAAAGTCTACCAAAATCAATTAATCTTGATTCAATAGGCCCAAAGTCCCAAAGTCCACATCTCTCCTTGCTCTTTCCTGTAAAAGTATCCTAGTTTCTCAAGTTGCAAATTCAGATCTATTGAGACAACTGCATTTGAAATATCCTTTTACCAACATTAAATGCATTACATATTTAGTCTTTCAATGTACTGTGCCTCCTTTTTACTAGTTAGCAATTATTAGAGCAATTAATTTATTTCCCTGAGAACTTTTATTTTGTTATACTCCAAGAAGAAACAATTTCATGGGTTAGGATATTCCACTTGTCAGTTTATGAAATGCAAGTATCATCACCTTTAGCATTTTAAATTAAAAACAAGTCCAACTGTTTCAACTGAGCTTTTTTTCAAAGATATACGCTCAGTTGCTTAATTATACTTTCCAAGGTAAAGTAGAAGTTAATAATATAGCCCTTAGAGAGTTCTAGGTTTAATAGTTAAATGCTAGAATGAAACTTTTAATTCAATATTTAGTAAGTTAGTTTTGATGCCTTCTTGTTATAACAAGGCCTTTCAGTCAGTGTTGGTGCTACATTTTTAAACATAAAATCATTATTACTCATCATTAGAACAAGCTCCAGTTCTTGGAAATCTTGAAGTCTTGAGATGTCTTTGTCCTTAAAGAAATTAACACAGAAAATTAGAAGCAATGCTTAGAATCAGCACAAGGCACACAGTACCAAAACATTTGATTATTTTTGTCATGATCTGCTTGGCTGTAACAGATATTTTGCCCCTCTTTAAACTCTTTTAATTCCACAGTTGTTCCTAGTTATATTTTTAAATATATTTCTGTGTATTGAAGAGGATTAAATTTAATTGGAAAATTATAAATCTCTGGGAGTCTTGTTGGAGTGCAGCAATCTAGAGCAATGGTTCTCAATCTTTTCTTCACCGTGGACCCCCTTTAAATACCACGGATCCCAAAGACTTAAGATTTAAATCATAACATTTCTTCAGGCCCTCGTGGACTCTCTGTGACAACATTGTGGGCCCCCAGGGATCCACGGACCACAGGTTGAGAACCACTGATCTAGAAGAATATGAATAAAATAATTAGAAAAACATTTCTTCTTTCTGTCCCCTTTTCCTTTTGCAAATCTGTGAACTAGGTTTTTCCAATTTTTAGGATATGTGCAGTTTGTAATAAGTTTTAGGTTCTTTATAATTACAAAGATTAGGTTGTTAGGAATTTGCACTTAGATCCTCCTGAAATCAATCTGAAAAAGTTAGTTGTGATTAAATGAATTTCTGTAAAGTTTTCACCGAACTTAATTTGGAGTCAAACAAATGGCAAACTTAACCTATGCTATAAGTTTAATAGGAGTTGGAAAGAAATAACTGAAGCAAGATTTTGATGGTAAAGCATTGGAATGTAACCAAAAAAGGATAGTTATGCAGATATGCACTAGTTATTGTGAATGCCTTTGGGGCTCAGTTTCAGCTCTTTGATATGTTGTTCTTGCAAGTTATGAGCTTTATCTGGAAGTGGATGCTTGCAAAATCTAAAAGCAGCTCTGTAAGTATCACCACGTAAAATAACTACTGAAGGACAGCATTTCTTTAAAAGGTAGGTGCCCTGTGTATAACTTAGTCTGCACTGAGTGCTGGACAGCACAGAACAAACATTATTATTATTCACATGACAATACTTCTCCCATGTCTGCTAATTTTGCAGCATTTGCACATCAGTCTATTTCTCTGGAAATAATTGCTCAGAATTTTCCTGCATACAGGTTGCAGCATTTAGCATATCCACAAAACCCTTACAGAGTTCACTGAAATAAAACAGAGCTTGAGCAAAGCAAAATAATGTAATATTTATGCATAACAAATCCACTCATAAAAAAGGAATGTTTACTGAGACTCCATCCAAATCTTTCATCTTTTAGTCACTTTTATGGCAGAATTCCATTTCTGGACTTTATAAACTGAGGTTCTACGTATATCACAGTATTTTGGACACTGACATTTGGTATTATCACCAAACATTATGAACTCCAAAGTGACCAGTAATCACTAAAGAAGAAATGAGGTTTATGAGTAATCCATTACATTGGTATTTAATTAATCCGTTTTTGTGTAGGAAATGCCTCACTATATGCAATTAATTATGCAATCTTTGACATACTGATTTGTTTCCCATGGCAACAAGTATATATAAAATTAACCTTAGGTTCCTTGTAATGACAAAGTGCAATATTATCTATTATTAAGACTGACAAAAAGACCAATAGAGCAGTCCCATACAATAGTTATTGGCTCGTGACCAGTTGTTTAATGACCATTCAGTCATACCAGCTTCAGGACAGGTGGTTTGCTGTCCATACAAGCATTCAGAATGGGTGCTTCACAGCTCGTAATATGTGATAATAATAACTGTAAAATGTCATGCCAGCTCCTCATCTCCATTACATAACCACATTTTGGATGCTCGGGCAACCTATTCACATGTACAACCAGTTGCCAAATGACCTGCAGTTGTGATTGCCATTTGCAATCTTCTCTGCCAGAAAAACATTGGGGAAGCCAGCGGGGGAAGATTGCGAGCAGAGGAGACAGTGGATTTGGGGTTCATTTCCCCAGCACGCCAAAGGATTAACACACCCCTCTGTGCGGGGAGGGGGAAGGTTCTTCTCGGGCACTGGAGGAACAGAGCTCAAATCTGGTGAAAATGCTAGCTAATGCCCTTATTCTGGAAGAATCAGAAGGCTGGGGTTCACTAGCATTTTCCCTTCCGGAGGGAAGAAGGGCGAGAAGAGCATTCACCAAAGCACTTAGTAAATGCCAGCATTCTGAGCCTTCCAGAACAATGGCGGTCACCAGCATTTTTGCCAGATTTGAGGTCCATTCCTCCAGCAGACCGAGTTTTCCTCAGGGAGGGGAGGGGAGGGGAGGCCCTTCATTCCAATGAAAGAATGGACCTTAAATCTGACAAAAATGCTAGTGAATGTGTTTCACTCCGAAGGCTCAGAATGCTGGCATTCACTAGTGTTTTCCCCAGCAGAGGGGAAAATATTAGCAAACGCCTTTGTTTGAAAAGCTCAGAAGGCTAACACTGGCTAGCATCTTAGCAAATGCCACCATCTTCACCCTTATGAACTTCTCATGGCCATTCCCCTGTGGAGCAGGAAGAGAGCCCAGGCGTGAATGTCAGGGAGGCCGGGGTTCTCTCCTGGGCACTCTGCTTAACAACCTGCATGGTCACTTAATGACCGCAACTGGGAGAGTCAGGGTTGTGTTTGCTGATCGAGGTGATCATATAGCATCCTACTCAACAATCAAATTCTGGGCCCAGTTGTGATCGTAAGTGGAGGACTACTTGTACGCGGTTACTGAAAAGATCATCATAAATTATTTAGAGGGGCTTCCCCCCCCACATAAAGGAGGAATCAAAATACCATATAGACATTCAACCTCACATATATATTCATTGTAGCCCTTAAATATATAACGAAGACTGCCAAATGAGATTCACTAAGTGAAATGCAGCCCTCCAGCTAGACATTTTGGCTGGACTGGTCAAACGCTTCTAGGTTTGTGCAATCCTCTTGAGATGTCAAAACCCAGGGAGTTGTGAAATACTAAACAGACCACAGTGCATACCTGCTGGACTGGACTGCATTTGACTTAGAAAGTCATAAATTCTCCCAAGCCACTCATAACTAACTTGAAATAAACAACGTACCTTTCTTAGTACAGTATTTGGAAGCTTCCTGATTTTCTCCACATGTTCGGGATTAACTCCCAATTCACAGCAGCTCACCCGGAGCAGTTCTTTGTACGTCAATTCTTGTCGATCCAATTCAATTTCAATGAAGTCATTCTCCTTCAGGGCACGATTCTGAATTCTGACCTTAAGTACCAGTTCTAATTAAAATACCCAAATAAAAAGACAGTCATTAGTAGGCGTGTAGCAGTTTCCTCAATCTTAATTCCATTTTAACAATTTGCCCTATTTATTCTGACCAGGACATGCCAGTGAGATTCCCAAAACAATCCTACACCATAGAAAGCAGGCAGTGGGAATTTGTGACGCTCTAATGAGCCCACCATCCCGCACTATGGGTTACGTTGTGGATCAGCAAATCTGAAAAAACAATCAGTTTCCCCACTTTGGGGGGGGGGCAGAGGTTATATTTGTAGTACAGATAGTCCTCGACTTACAACGATTCATTTAGTGAGTGTTCAAAGTTACAACAGCACTGAAAAAAAGCAACATGACCATTTTTCACACTTACAACAGTTGCAGCATCCCCATGGTCACGTGACCAAAATTTGGATACGTGGCAACTGACTAAATATTTATGACGGCTGCAGTGTCCTGGGGGTCATATGAACAACTTTTGCGACCTCCTGACAGACGAAGTCAATGGGGAAGCCAGATTCACTTAACCACCATGTTACTAACTCAACAACTGCAATGACTCACTTAATAACTGTGGCTAGAAAGGTCGTAAAATGGGGCAAAACTCACTTAACAAATGTCTCACTTAACAACATAAATTTTGGGCTCAGTTGTGTTCATAAGTCGAGGACTACCTGTAATAATATCCATGGTGTAAAAGCAAGCATTGATCATATTGTAAAAGTAAATCTGATTCTTTCAGTTGGCCCAGTTCATGGATTGATGGCTTATCGTGGGATCAATGGGAGCCCACAATTCACAGAAGGAAATGTAGATCTTACAAGGTAGTGCCTGACAAGCATAGGATCCTAATTCCTGTGGGGTGGGAAGGAGATGTGTGAATCATTCCTTTGTTAGACTAACTCTGTTCTTAGTAGAAAAAAGGCTCCACTTCAGAAACGTGACTCAAATTTAAACAACAGTAATAAAGACTTATGAGCTTTGCTCTTTGGAGAAATGGAAAATCATTGCAATGAATCATTGGCACACTGACAGCCTTCAATTTAGAAGTTGGCCATAAATGCTTTATTAAAAGCCCTGAAAATTCAGCTCCCACAGAGGATGATAGCTATCTTAAATGTACAGCATTTAATACCAACATCTTATCTATCAAATACGCACTAGTATAAGTAATTATCATCGATAACAAAAATCATGTCACATTTGTGCTCAGATTTTAGAATGGGCTTCTCAGAGAGGTTTAAGTTTAGCTAAAACCTTTTTCAGTGCTAGCTTTTTACAACATTGTATTGCTTGTATTATTTTTCTTTAAAAAAAAAACTGGATTTTAATCTTAGATTTTTAAATATTTTAATTACCATAAACCTTGAAGCACACACAAAAAAAGGAAGCTGAAATATTGTATAGACTAGATCCAATTTCCCCCCTTTGTCCCTGGCTACCTGTCAAGAGCAGATTTTAGATTAAGGATATTTAAAAGCAGTGAGCTGGATTCCTTGTTTCCTTTCTGCTATGGGATTCATAGGTAACCTATAGTGCAGCAATTAAAGAATTTCATTGTGACTGGGAAGGCCCAGGTTCAAATTACCCTTATATATATATATTCAATGGATGACTTGGGGTTAATCATTCCCTCTCAGTCCAAACTGCCTGGCAAAATCACTATTATAGGAATAAAATGCAGGGAGCTCCCCACAGTCGCTTCTATGACCTTTTGTAGGAGGTAAATGATAAAATAAACTTTAAATAAATAAGTAATATATTTTTACCTTCTATCAGGAATGCTTCCAGCAAAAATCACTTCTGCCATATATATATTTTTTTTAAAAAGCATGGTTCATTTTTTTAAATCAAAAACTAGCGGCATGCATTGAAATGACAAAAGCAATAAAATATGGAAAATAACACCCCATAAATACACTGATTAATTTGGGAGGTCCAGGACCAATTCTGATTAGTAGCTGAAGAGTGACTTCTCATGCTAAAAGTTTACATTAAAGTGCCAGGCAAAGTGCCCGAAAAAAATATTTCACAACACTAAGCAGCTGTGCACCAACCATTTCCTGTGCACCAACCATTTACACCTCTCAAAGCAACCAGGCTAGGCTTGCAAAAAATATAGATCCTCTTTGAAGAGAAATGCTTATTAATACCTGTATGTGTTATAAAGCATTTCTTCTGAAGGTTTCCTACAGCCCTCTTATATAGAGCTGCTTATCTAACAAAAGAGACAGACATGAGTTCTGCAACTCTAAAGTAGCCATATCGCTCTGTGGACACACATACACACACTTGAGCTAGTAGTATCACAGAAAAAAGATGTTCTGAGGGAGAGCCTGTGATCAGTTCCCATGTACATTTAATATAACTCCTGAAAAAAATCTGAATGACAGATTCTGCTCACGTTTGCCTGTGCAGCAGGTTCTCAATCATGCAGCCAGACCTCACATACATAAACTTTTTTTTTACTTTCTAAGCTCTTTCAAGCATCAAACGGAATATACACAGAAATGAGAATTAGAAGCTGTGCGCGTCACAATCCTTTTGCCTGCACATTCAGATCTACGTACTATATGATTCTAGGAATAATTTTGAAGTGAATGTTTTCTCAGGATATCACAAAAAAAAGGAACCAGAAACTCTACTGGATTTTACTTACAGTTACCTAAAAGATCTTATCCTGACTACAACAGCAGGCAAAAAGCAGCAAAAGTTCCAAGGGAAGAAATCAATTTTTTGTACAGTTTTGTGAAAATTGTGATAATGATGCATGTACTTAAGTTGTCTGGAAACCACACAATTTCTCTACATAAGGTTACCTTGCATATTATTAAAGGGAATTGCTCCGGTAAAGAAGAAGGGCTGAAACGTTGGGACAGCTCCTGCGTAAGGGCCACTGGGTTTCTGGGTTTCTGGTTGTGTAGATCCAGCTGGGGAACAGTGTGTCCTGCTTGGAGGAACAGAGAGCTGATGAGCATGACCATTCTGAACAACGGGCTCCAGGCATTCTACAGCCATTGCTTTCGCCACGTCTCCATCACATCCTACAGAAGCCTTTCCATGTTGCAATACTGCTGTGGCAGATGTCTGTGCTAGAGGCAGAGAAACTGGAGGGTCCATGTTGTGTTTTTGTAAAGAAGGTGAAAGTCTTCCATTCAAAGAGGAAGCTGAGGTGCTGGTAGTGCTGTTACTCATGGAGTTGTACACATAAGGAAAAGGCGGGTTAGATAAATAATTTGGGATAATTGGCAAGTCTTTCTTCACATCCAAAAGCTCATCAACATCTTCCACTACAGAAGAAAAAAAAAAGGAGGGTTGGTTACAATATGTACATAAAAATGGATGTTATTTATGTTCAGCCACAAAGGTTACGCTACAATAAAATCCTTTTGAGAAAATAGGTATTAAATATACAGCACATATAATATATATGTGTATGTAGTACTAGCCTTCATTTTTAGCAAATTAAAATTCAACAGTCCATCATCTGATTTTTTTTATTAAACCTGTGAAAGGGTCACATACAGGAAGTCCTCGATTTATGATCACAATTGAGCCCAAAATTTCCATTGCTAAGCAAGATAGTTGTTAAGTGAATTTTGCCCTATTTTATAACCTTTCTTGCCACAGTTAAGTGAATCACTGCAGTTAAGTTGTTAAGGGAATGTGGCTTCCCCATTGACTTTGTCAGAAGGTCACAAAAGGTGATCATATCACCTCATCGTAAATACATATCAGTTGCCATACATCAGGGGTCTTCAAACTTGGCCCTTTTATGACTTGTGGACTTCAACAGTCAGCGTGGCTGGCTGAGTAATTCTGGGAGTTGAAGTCCACAAGTCACAAAAGGGCCAAGTTTGAAGATCCCTGCCATATATCCAAATTTTGATCGTATGATAGTGGGGAGGCTACAATGGTCGGATGAAAATAATCACAAGTTACTTTTTCAGTGCCATTATAACTCTGAGCAGTCACTAAATGAATGGTTGTAAGTTGAGGACTACCTATAGTCACATTACTAATCATTCTAATTCAAGGTCACAAAATAAAAAGTCCACAAGAGAACCCATAGGGTTTCGGTAGAGATTCAAACCATCTCCTTGGCATTCTAATTTTCTATAATACATTTGAACTGTCAAATTATACAGTATTTTACCTCCCAGCATCTTCCTAATTTCCCTTTTGGATGTTAACTGGAGTGCTTTTTCTTCTTTAACAGTGAGAATGTCTTTATCTGCACCAGCCTCTAGAAGGTATGCCACCACCAGGGCATGGTTTCGTTTACAGGCCCAGTGCAAGCAAGTCCTGTACAAGAAAAAGATACAGACTTATTGAGAAGTTTTATTAAGGGGAAAGGGAAGGATGACCACTTTCCTTCCGCTAACGCTCCAGTGTTTCTCAACCTTGACAACTTTAAGATGGGTGGACTTCAACTTCCAGAATTCTCCAGCCAGTATGACTGGCTGGGGAATTCTGGGAGTTGAAGTTCATCCACCTTAAAGTTTCCAAGGTTGAGAAACATTGCGCTAAGCAATTGTGTCACAATTTAGATATCCTTATGGTGACACCTACTGGACAACTCTCAGAAAACAAAAAGACAGTGCTAGAAATGTCATGCTTTCATCTTAGGTCTTCAAGTAGCAAGAATAATATATTTTAAGTTTTCCGATATCTGAGGCACACACTCATTTTCATTCCATCCCAAATGAAAATTAAAAGTACACTTCACCCCAGAAGGTTTGTTTTTATCAAACAGTTAATTCGGTTCAAAATGTGAAACTTTCACGTGTAAAATTATATTTTGCCAATAAAACTCTTTAATTGGTCAAGATGCAATTTTTTTTTTCAGAATAGATCTTTTCCTCACTGCAAATCAATCATTCTCAGTTCAACAATCTCAAATTATGTTGGATAGCAAAATGTATACTGCTGGGGGAAATTCCTTTTCCCAATTTATAATATTTGAGCTAACTGCTAATACATATGTTAGTCTTATATCAAAATGTTTTGAAGTAAAATGACTTTCTTTCAGCATTCTCTTTCCTTAATCTTTTTTCTAAAAGTATTTGGATGTAGAGGTTCTTCCATGAAAACCAGTACCTTACTGGTGGACACAGAGTCTATTTTAGCTAGACCAGGTGTAGGGAACCTCGGCTCTTTTATGACTTGTGGACTTCAATACCCAGAATTCCTGAACCAGCCATGCTGACTCAGGAATTCTGGCAGTCCACAAGTCATAAAAGAGCGAAGTTCCCTACCCCTGAGCTAGACAATAGTTTGGAAACAAAAGGACTAAAGAAATTACAATTTCTGTCAGCCTAATGCAACAATCCTTCCAGCAACTTTGTCCCCTTTCAATCAGCCTCCACCAAATACAAATAATTCTAATAGGAGGAAATATCTGTAGCTCAGGATTGGCTTGTGGGGTCCTTGGTGCTCTCTGAGCTTAGTTGTTTGCTTGCAGACATTTCATTATCCAACCAGGTAACACAATCAGTGCTGGCGTCTGTGAGGTTTGCATCCTGTTTATATGCAGTACATATAGTACATATAGCCTTGTGGTTCTAATACTATTTTGGTTGTTTCTGATCTGCTCTTGATGAACGGTAGTGTTATCCTTTTCATAGTTGGTGTTAATTGCACTATAGCGGGTTGAGTGGTCAGGCACTTTTTGATAAAGTTGTTTGGGTATCCATTTTGTTGGAAGATTTGCTTGTGGTCTGTTTCCTTTTGGGGGGGGATGTTATGGGATGCTGCAGTGCATTTATACTAATTTAAATAATGTTCTCACTGGAGAAGAGCCTAATGCTGGGAAAGATTGAGGGCAATAGGAGAAGGGGACAACAAAGAATGAGGTGGCTGGATGGAGTCACTGAAGCAATAGGAGTGAGCTTAAATGGACTCCAGAAGATGGTAGAGGACAGGAAGGCCTGGAGGAACGTTGTCCATAGGGTCGCGATGGGTCAGTCACGACTTCGCAACTAACAACAACAACAAAATAATGTTCTAACACAGCTCCTCCTGTGGGAAATTTGGCTGTTACTTTGGAAATGGAGCATTTGGTTAGCGTGGGAGGTTTTTTTTTATAGCCTTGCATTTCTAATTTGCCATTATTTCCTCTGCTGATGATAATACCCACAAAGGACAGAGTATTATTGTTTTTTTCTTCTTCTGAATATTATTCCCCTGAAGATGTTTTTTCATGTGTCTTCTCTAGTTGTCCTTTATTATATGACAAAGGTATTGTTTACATACCAGAGCCATACTTTTGGTTGTATGTGTGAGAGTACTAGAGTTTCTAGATGTTGCATTGCAGTCTCTGCTATAAGTCCTGAGAGTGGTGATTCCAAGGGTGTTCCTCTGATTTGTTGGCATATTTTTCTATCAAACTGAAATTAAATTAGCAAAGTCCATGATTCTAGGTATTTAACTCTTATTGTATTTGTCTAGGTCAGGTGTGTTGTGTAGTAGTGCTGCCATGAATATGGGTGTAAAGAGCACTGTGACATAAAAAACGTAACTTCAACTTCTATTTTTAGGTCTTTGATTTTCTAGAGGCACTGAAGTGAGGAGTTAATAGAACAGGGGTGTCACCCGCAGGCTGGATCTGTCACGCTGAAACCACGCCCACCCCATTGCCGGCAATGGGGAAAAAGTCGTGATACATCACAACACGTCATGTGACGTTGCGAGTTTGACACCCCTGTAATAGAATATCTGTTCCCCTCTGTGGGATGTCTAAGCTCTTTAGTAAGTTCCTTGGCTATGGTGTATGTTGGGGAGCCTGGTAACAATACAACTGGGCAAAGAGGCATATCAGTCTTTTGTATTTTTGTATGTCCATAAAAGAGTGGAAGGATAGGTCCATTGCTTTTCTTCTGCTACTGTTCTTCTTTTCATATATGGCCTTTGAGAAAACTGTGAGTATCCTAGATCAAGCTAAATCCAAAATAAATCAACCATATTTACACATCATTCAAAAGAAACAATAAAGCAGCTAAGAAGAAAAAAACCAGAACACATCATCTTCAGCAGCCAACACCTACATAAGCAGAAATTAACACCAGAAAAGCAAACAGAAAATAATATTCTAATCAAAGAACTACCAAACAGAAAATCACACCCCCACCAAAACTGGCAGAGCAAGTTTACTGTGTATAAACAGAGAGCAAACCCACACTCAGTTGCACAGATGATGTTATCCAGTTGGTTTATGAAACCTCTGCAAGCATACAACCAAGCTCAGAGAGCAGAAATAATTATGCTAGCTGGCTGATGTAGCTGGTAAAATGGAACCACTGAGCTGAGATACAGCAGAATGATCTTCTCTAATGTTATCACCCTGTTATTCTGAAAAATTATTTCTTTCTGTACTATTTGCACCCTTCCTCTCCTCTGAAAGCTATGGCATATATATTCAACAAAATTGATAGCGCCAAATGTCAGCCAGGGAATGAACTTGCTAAACAAACAGGTATTTGAATGTAATTATTTCTGCTTAAAACTGAACCCTTTTCCTTGTTTACAATTACTATATCTAGAAAGTATTTTTCCTATTCAGCAAGAAAATGGTAAAATTTAACCTAACACTGTATATAAAAAGTTACAAATATAAAGCTACTGTTATTATTGTTATTACTGTTTAATAGCAATAGGGTTTCCTTTGAGACTACCAAAAATTTACATCAACTTTCTTAAAACACTAGATAAAACCATAAATGTCTAACTAATTCTGTGTTTTGTAAGGAATATGCAGTGTTATCCTGTAAATTATTAACAATTTCATATCAGAATTATTATGTAAGGATCTCACTAGCTAATAACAGAACAGTATAAGGGAAGAAAATGATTAGCAGCAAGATGGATGAACTTGATTTCAGTGGCCATGGGTATACTGTTGGAACATCTAAAGGGCCAAGTTGGGAACAGATCATCCTGGAAGACTATTGATACAGTTGCTAACAGTTGATTTGATAGCACATAATCAATTTATAAACAATTACTTAATCTCTCAAAAACTTTTCCAACACTTTTGATGTGATCAAAATTATCTCAGAATGTTTTGTAATATGTACAAATCTTTTTATTTATTCCTTCCATTTCCACAACTATTTGGCAATACATTACTAACAGAAAATATTCTGAAATCAGCTCACCATATTACATTACAAAACTGTCACAACTTTTGCAATGTATTAATTATATAAAGGACACACTGATCGAATATATACAGCAAAAATAGATATTATCTTTACATTTTCTAGCATCAAGATATTAAAATCACCAGAATATCAGATTCATCCATAAAACCTAACAACAGAAATCCTAACAGATTTAACTTTTAAAGTTTAGATTTGTTCTGTAATTCTAGATCTTCTGAAACATATCAGGCACTTCTAAAAAGCTTGAAAATAATTTTAAAAGCAATAAAATAAACCAGAAAATATATTTTAAAATTTCCAACAATTACTTCACATTTTTTTCCCATAACTATGAAAATATATAAATGATTGGATCTTTGGTATTACTCTTATTTGGTAATATTATTAATACCATATTATTCTTATATGGTAATATAGGATTACAACCAAATGTAAGAAACCAACTTAAATAGAATAAATTAAAAGAATACTTAAATATAATATGCCAAGTTTATAAACCAGCAAAAGGCTTAAGTTATGCATATTTAATATGGCAAAGTTGAGAAATAATAAAAATAATTAATTTATTTTTAACAACCGAAACTAATTGAACAAAAATACTGCCGAAATGCGTTTTCTAAAGAAAGATTACCATAACATAATGTTTTAAAAGACATGAACCGGAAACTTGTCAAGTAATTTACTTGCCAAATACTTACCAGCCGTTGATTTCATTCTGAGAATTCACACTCACTCCAAAATCCACCAATCGCTGAACTTCCTCAATATCTCCCAAAGCAGCAGCTTCTCTCAGTCTCTCTTGTAGCTCTTTTTCCTCTACTGCAGAAGTCATGTTATGAAATTCTCTCCACAGTCAACTTTAGGATTATCAAATGCCTGCCTACCTACTGTAAATGATGGATCATTTTATCACGTTAGTCAATCAGAGGCCGACAGAATCCATCAGTCCCCTAAAAAAGAAGATCCACGTTTTATTCTTTTAATCATAAGCGCGCCGGCAATTCTTTTCTATCTACTCTTCATAAATCAGTCTGACACTTCTGCAGGCCATTTTCCCTAATTGCATAGTTAAGAGTAAATCTCGGTCGTTTCTGCTTCCGTTTTCTCTGGGGGACTCTATTAAATGAGACAACAGTGACCTGCACATTTCGTTCCCACCACTCGTCCGACGCATAGACCGTCGACGCACAGCAAAAGGGGGGGGGGGGGAGAAGGAAATAAAATAGTTTCGTTCTCCTTTTGATAAACCGAATGACTATTTAAAATATATCCACTTTGCCACAATCAAACCTCTATACTATTGGCAAAAGAGCTTTTGCAATCTGCATCTGAGCTTTTACTGAGACAGTAAATTGCTCGGCAGCTTCCATTTGATCTGCCTCAAACTGCTTCGAGCAGTCTTAATTGATATCGGGCAGGCTAAAATGTAAAATAGACTGAATAAATTAACAGAAAGCCACCTCTTTTGAAACAGTGTGGTAAGCTTAAAAATACGTTTCCACCAACATATTGTACTGTAGTGAGTCTTTCCAGGATTGTTTCATCTTGGTGCTTCTTATTGCAATCAATAGAAAGAAGGATGCTGCAGCTCACAAAAGTTTATGCTTTTGTAGTCTAAAAGGGTGCTACCGTGTTTCTTTGGACTTTTGCAAGCAGCACAATGTCCAATTCCTCTCTTTATATAGATCTCCTAATGTTTTTGTTAATTGTTAATTGTAGATACTCCAATCTCATTTTAAATATGTATCTCAACAATTAGCATTATGCACATTCAGTTTTTCGGTTTTTCAGAAAAGGATCTCCCAATTTTATTTCCACTGCAACTCCAGAACAGAATAATTTTAGTTCTTAATAATCTTTTCAAGAAATTATGTGAAAGAAGTACAAGGAGTACAAGTGACTGAGGTGTAATGATAGATTTTAGTCTTTTGGTACAACATTTAACAGTGTTTCTCAAATCTGGGTAAATTACCCAAAATTGTGAAAAATAGTTTTTCTTTGCATTATAATGCACAAACTAATTATCCAATCACAACACAGGTATTTAAATAATGACTTTATGATAAGCAGTTTTGAGTAATAAAGGAAAGTTTGAGAAGCATTAAGCTAACACTTACTGTATAGTGAAGGTGCAGTTTTCATAGCATTCCCAAGCAATACAGGGACAGGACAGGAAGCAATTTCTTGACAAAGTAGAGGGATGGGCATTAAAACCTTCTGTTTTTGAAAAGTATTTTCCCTATTATGGAAAATTAAGTATGCTTACTACCATATTTACTCAAAAGTAAATTCTATGGAATTCAGTGACATCATGGTATTTAGGACTTACAGTCTGCATCTAAAATGTACTTCTCTTGAGACAAACTCTAGCAGTTCCAAACCAAAAACAAATTGCAAATTGTATTATTTCCTTCTTAATAAGGGAAAACACAAGACAAAAGCCTCGAAAATGGAAGGCAGTGAAATCTATACCACTGTAAAGAATCATGAACAAGACAGGGCAATCACATAGTTCTTTAGAAGTGAGGATCATTAATTTTATGATTTAAAAGGCTGAATTTAAGTTAATAGTTAATAAATGTGTTCAGATTCTGACTTACTGTCCTTTCTTTTACTTTAATATTTATGGGGTGGTGATGTTAATTATCTACACACCTCTCTTATTTTGAACTCTTCTGGATTGAACCTTGGTGTCCCTAGGGAGCAAATTATTTAAGTTTTATGTGAAGCAATGTAGGATTTTTCTATAAAGGTTTGAAGAACGTGTGATGCAAAGAACCAAAGCTACACTGTGTATTTTTCAAGATCCTGGTAAAGTTTTGAAATGCAAGATTTGATTTTTCTAAATAATCCCAAATCGGCAAATAAAAGCGGATCGTAAACAAGGGTATGAGTAATCAGCATTAAAACCTTGTCTGCAATGTCTAAACTTCTTGTTGGGCAATCTGTGTTACAAGACTCTGCAGAGAACTTGTTTGGGCAAATCCGTGATAGGGTAAATAGCTGCCGGTTTCGTCTTGTCCTGCAGATGAGAAGGGAAAGTAATAGAAGACCAGCCGCGCCCGTTCCATAGCGACGCAGACGGCTGTACAGACGCCTCGCGAGCCCTTGACAACAAGCCCCGGGGGCGATTATGCGAGGGAAGCGCAGTGCACTGTGGGAAACGCCCGGGCTCGAGGCTGCCGCCATTTTGTCTCTGTCACTCTCGGAGCGGCTCGGTTGCAGCGTTTTGTCGGGGAGTGGAAATAGTCGAGGCAGTAATAATTGGGTCGGTGGCGGAGAGGCACCATGATTTCGGCAGCCCAGCTTTTGGACGAGCTTATGGGCCGAGACAGAAACCTCGCCCCAGATGAAAAGCGCAGTAACGTGCGATGGGACCACGAAAGCGTGAGTGTTGTTGAGCTTGGGCCTCCGCTGTCCTTTCAGGGCTCCATACTCTCAGTCGTTTTCGCCTGTTGGGGTGGGAAGAAAGAAACGCGGCATAGTCCTAAGTTTGCCTAGGCGAGCCTAAGATAGGAGGAAAGAGGACCCGGACCCGTTTTAACTGAGAAGTATGGCGTGGAAGAAAACGATTAAGCGTGTTGGAGGGCGTTAGGCCTCTCGAGGGGAGAAAGATGCAATGGGGTGGGAAGGGCTGTCTCCAAACGACGCGGCCCTGAAGATGGAGGACGAGCCAGGCAACGAGGCCCGTCGCGCACCATATATTGAATCGCCGTATCTTGAGACACTGTATATTGAATTATTTGTACTTTGGAAATGTGGCGCCTAAGAACGCGGGGTGGAGAAGTAGGTGCGCGCGAAAAGAGAGTGAAGCGTGCGAGTCAAGAGTTTCAACCGCAAACCTTTTCTTCTATTGAGGGAATGTTTTTTCACAATCGTAAATCTTTTATCATTCTGCGTGTATTTGCCACATTTCTAGTTCAGAGCAGAACTATATGATTTGCAGAGAACAAGGACATAGAATCATAAAGCATTTAATAGGGCTAAAGCGGGGGAAAATTATATATATATTATATATAAATAATAAGTCAATAATCAAACCAGAATTTCATACCAAGGAGGAGCACAACATTTTTTTGTATCCATTATGCCACTGTGAGGGTTACCTCAGAAAATTCTCAGATGACTCCCTCGAATTAGGGAAAATATTTCTGAATTTGAGATGTTGTACAACTAGGTTATAGCCTACCATAGAATAAATGTATTGAGGTTCTTTAAGATAATAGAAAAAAGATAACATGTTTCACTTAAGAAATAATAACCCACACATTTATTTCAGCATATATTGAAAAAATGAGGTACTGTGCCTTGGAGTGATTTATAGTACTAAATACTGATAAGTTATATTGAGTTCATTGAGAGTTATTTCCAAGCAAGTGTATGGAATTGTAACCTTCATTGTCTCAAATGAACCCAATTTGAAGTATAACAGCATTTGCCTTTATTTGTTGTTCAAGGAAGTAGAAATCTTACTAGGCAGTGAAATACTTGCATAAATTCTTATAGTAGCACTTCTCTGATTCAGAGTGTTGATTAAATTAGACTAATTAAATTTAAATTAGTTAAATTATCTAATCCTAGTAGTTTTGAAGGAAATTTACATGGTTTTAAGTCCCAATTTTTAGACTTAAAACATTAGACTAGATAAATGGATGGGTTTAAAAAAAAATGGTACCTGGAATTAGTTCTACTATTTGCACATTGAATAAAAAAAGTCACACTGCTTGTAACTGCTGTACTATCTCATCTTTTCTTCCATCAAGTAAGAGAGAACGTGTATGTTTATTTTAAATGCTTGCTAAAGGTGTCATAAGGCTTTGACTTTAAAACTGCTATTCAAGTTTATCAGTACATCAACAAACAATCAAAATCTCTAAAAATATGGAAATATTAAGCTTCTTCACAGAATTATATAATTGGAGGGTACTTTAGGTCAATTCTATATAGGGTTGAGCAAACTTCAGTTCAACTGAATCAAGATGAAGTTACTTTGGTTCTTGCTTGGACTGATGGCTCCTCATCAAAGTGCATACTATACCTTCATGTGGTGTACCAATTTTGCCCTTTCCTGGATCAGGAGGCACTGTGCTCAGTCATGCTTTGGTCACCTCCTGAGTGGGTTCAAGTAATGCATTCTACATGGAACTGCCCCCCAAAGAACATCTAAAAGCTTGAATTAGTCCAGAATGCTGTAGCATAAGCAATTGTAAATATGTCTTCACCTTTTTTTCACATTGCACCTTTGCTTCTCAAGTTGCACTGGCTTCCAATTTGCTTCTGGTGCAATTTAAGGTGCTGGCTGTTACCTCTAAAGCCCCAATGGCATGGTACCAGGGTATTTGAAAGACTGCCTCATTCCCATCATTTGTACCTATCCCATTAGGTTGGGCAGGAGGGACATAGATAAATGCATATGGATTGCTAAGTGCCCAGATAGCAATCACATGACTGCAGGGGTGCTGCAATAGTCGTAAGTTCAGGCATGGGTTTATAAGTCCATTCAGCACTGTTGCGATTTTGAACAGTCACTAAACGAATGCTTGTTAATCAAGGACTACCTGTGTGATAGCACTGAATAGTCATTGAAGTTACAGCAGTTGCAACACCCACACGGTCATATTATCAAAGTTCATGCATCAGACAGCCCGCCCACTCTTACAACTGCAGAGGGACTTCAGCTCTCCCCCCCCCCCCACATCTCTCTCCATTTGGTGCCCTACACAACAGCACTGGAGCTGAAGTAGAGGTCTGGGCCTTCAATAGTTTCAGCCATCCACTGTCCCTGAGCCTTTACTTTAGCCCCAGTGCCACTGCCTGGAGATTCTGTTCTCTTAATGCAGTGGCTTTTTTTAGCAGCTGTCCTGCACTGTGTGTTCATGTTGAACTTGTGGTTGATAAGCACACCCAGATTCCTTTCTCAGCTGCTATTTCTAAGCCAGATCTTCCTTATCCAATAGTTAGGCTTTACATCTTTCCTTATTCAATACTTAGACCTTATATTTCTCCCTGTCAAATTCTATCTTACTGATTTAGCCCATGTGGAACTTCACTGATTTATCTACACTTTTGCTGGTCTGCCTATTTATTTAACATGATTAATTGGCTTTTATAACACTAG